TGCTCACCCACCAACCGCTCGCGCGAGTCCCTCAGTGCACCCCCGACGAGCAGGGCCGCGGCGGCGCCGGCCGCCGCCGCCGCCAACCGCCTCACCTCTGGCGCCACCGTACGGGGTGCCGATGAACGACTGCGCTTTGCCGATGGTGGCCGTGATCTGACCGAGACGCCGAAGTCGGCCAGCTTCACGCCGCCGCGCTCTCCGTCAGCAGGATGGTTTGGCGCCCTGGCGGCGGCCGCACGGCCCGTCACTGTCCGCCCGGCGCCGCGCAGGCCGGCCGACATCGGTACACCGCGGCACCGCGGCACCCTCGGCAACTGGCTTGCAAATGCCGATGGGAAGGGAGTATTTTGCAATGCTCGGCAAAAGCAAAGCGTCCACAGAATGACGGGTTGGGGGTTATGGTTGCGCTGACTCAATATTAAGAGAACCTTTTTCGCGCGAGAGTCGCCACCGCAGGGCTCACAAGAGTGAAGTCATAACTGCTCGATACGGGAGCGCCGCGCCTCGCTGTTTTCCCCTTTTATCGATCTATCATCCATGTCATAAGACGAATAATTTGAGCTTTAGTATGTCGAAATGTTGCCTGTTGACCATAGCCATACGTGAAAGCTGATTGGCATGCTCACGAAGATGGCAGCAAAATATGGGTATGTCCACTGTCTGCCATTCGACCCTGCTTGCTTACTAGCGCACAAGTACTCATAACACCATACAAGCATGAGCACTTATTTTTTGTACTCCCCTTGTGATGTACCATTTACATAACTAATAGTCTATATTAGTATGCTCATAAAAGCATTATAAGCATTTAGCACGTCCATCAACTGTTGCATGTGCGTTTCTAAAAACACAAAAAATAAAGAAATATGCGGACGCCGTCATCACCAACTGTGATCAATATTCCCATATCTTGAGTAACCGTGGATATGTCCCCTGTTCGCCCGAATCATCAGCATCTCCAGGCTGGCAGGCAATGGCCGTAAGTCTGTCAACCAATTCAAGGGCTGCTAGACCACTATGTGGTGAGCCAAACACCTCGTTGCAGCACGGCCAAGGCAGAACAGCCGTCCAATCACGCACCACACGCATCCCCGGCCTTCTTTCCACACAGGGTCAGGGTCTAGAGCCTGGACCGAACGCCCGCCTGCCCGGACCGTTTACCTTGACGTCCCTGTGCATCTTGCCCATGGTGTGGAGGTAGGAGAGGCCGCGCAGTGTCTCTCGACACACGCACGCGATCTGTGGCTCCGTCAGCGGACCCGTGACTGCAACAGACGCGGCCGCTGGTCAGGCCCCCGACACGCTCCAGACACCCCGCGACCGCTGGTCACGGCCCTCGACACGTCTCAGACACCCGCGACCGCTGGTCAAGACCTCGACACGCACCAGACACCCGCGGCCGCTGGTCAAGGTCCTCGACACGCCCCAGACACCCGCGGCCGCTGGCCAAGGCCATCGACACGCCCCAGACACCCGCGACCGCTGGTCAAGGTCCTCGACACGTCCCAGACACCCGTGGCCGCTGGTCACGGCCCTCGACACGTCTCAGACACCTGCAGCCGGCTACGGCGCTAGGCTCGTGGTTTTCACGAGCACCGAGGATAGAAATAGGAGTAATTAGAGACTTGTAAGACACTCACTCATTTCGTAACATCGCATCATCCTCTGATGTGCGAACTAGTACCAGCAGGAATAACACGGAGAGAAGAGTTGTTGTTGTTAATTGTAGTTTACGGGCGCGTCGACTGCGGTGGTCATTTGGCGCCCACGGGAAAGAAGCGGTGATGCGGCAAGGTTAATAAATCGTAGCGTATAAAACGTATAAGCGTATAAAGCACAATAAATAACACGGGAGAACAGCTGAACCGAGAATCGATGACGGTAAAGATACACTTGAAAAGGGAGATAGCATAAGCAGTACCAAAAAATACTTACTATGATAGATATCTTGCAGCGAGCCGCCCCCGCAATACTCCATACAGATCCACAGCTTGTCGCGTCGCAGGTAGGAGCCGAAGTAGGCGACGATGTTAGCATGCCGGCAATCCTTCATCATCAGTATCTCCTGCTGGATTATGCTGAAGTCGTCCCCTGCGAGACCGATCAGTCTTAGACAGAAACAGCTGACACCGGGCGTGAGGACCCACGACATTATACGACGCGCAATCGGATATCCACATAATAAAATCAGGCAGCTCCGTGCGGCAAACTGGTCAAGACCAAACTAAAGGTCACAGGAAATGTTTAGAGACGTCGGCCCGGCGACAAACTGGCCCCGGCGAGCGGTGGAAGCGTTCGGCATCACATGGCGAGAAGGCACAGCACGACCACCCCCCTGCGGGACCCGACCCTGTGGCGCATGCCGGCGCCGCGTCCACTCCCGTACACCTACAACGGCGACCGTGCCGACATATCGCGTACACGGCGACGGAGAAGCCCACAGACGGACCGCCACCAGAAGAGCAGCGCACGGCCTTCTTCGCCGCGGTATCTAAGCTGAGCGGTGCCGCACGCGCCCCCTCGTCAACTACCGGTCCGAGGTCGGCCGGGCTCACAGTCGCCGAACGTATCCCAGCGGCACAAATGACGCCAGCACACCGGCGTGGGATGGGTCAGGCCAACATCCGGGGTTCCTGTTCAGATGTGGGGTCGTCCACCCCACCTCAAACTTGGGGCGAAAAGTGGTTCAAAACCGAGTAAAACATGCTTGCAATGTATTAATGGGTATACTTAGCGACTAGTTCTGCTCAGTCCCATCCCCACAACTGATATAGCAAAACCACACCCCTGCAAACATGAGAACAAGCCAGGAGACAGGGCGTCTCACTGGCCCTATGAGTACATCAGACCGCGGTCCGCTGACCGTTTCAGGCCAGCCGCCCGACGGGACGGCGGTCGGCCGGAGCCGCCGGTTTGCAAACACACCACCGCTTCGATGCCCCGACACAATATTCTGCTCGACGAAAACACACGTATTTCGGCCCAATGTTCGCCGGGCCCATCTCCACTTCGTGGCCCAACCAATCAACGACGCAATCCCGGAGAGAGGAAACAGAGCGTGTCCACCTGTCGCGCCGCCCGCCAGCGTCAGCGCCCGCTGCGCTGGACCTCGCGTCGCCGCCGGCATGCCGACGCTGGTCGGCAGCTGTGAGTGACAGCTGACAGGTCGCGGTCTGGCCGCGGCCTGCTCTAGAGCCGTCGCCACGCGGCGGCGGCGGGCACGAGCGGGCGGCGTCCGACGCGCGTCGTCCGTCCGTCCGCACCCGCGGGCCTCCGACGCTGCCGCCGTCACAGCCGTCCCAGCCGCGAGCACGGCGCCGGACGGGTCCCGACAACGCCCTCGGCTGGCGTTGGTTATTGTCAGCCCGGGAGAAGTACGGGGGACTCCATCGTTATCGGCCTTTGGCCAATTTAAGGCCGCTTTGGAGCTGCGGGTCCTCGTGAATTAAATTAAAGCTACTGGACAACTGCACATTGTATGCGAAACCATTGAACACCGTGAAGTGATGTTCTCACACAACTGGATACAATATGCGTGAGCAGCAACGCAGCTTCCTAGCCTCTCAATCACTACACAAGCCATGACCACCATCGCATGGAGGTAGTCGAATATTCCATCGAAAATATGCACCCCGACAGCGTAGCCTCTCTCCAGGTGCGCGCGCAGCAGCAATCGGTAACTGGCTGAGCTGATCAGTGTACGCTCCGCCCCCTCTGCACACGTCTTGTCTGAGCCGTCTCACTGGCATGCATTCAGAAGCTCACGCTGGCAGTGTCTAGCCGCAGCTGAGCAGCCGAGCCTCTTAAGCCTGGCCAAAAGGCCAGCAAAACTAAGGACAAAACACCGCATGACTACGCCCGTTCTAAGAGGCGCATCTGGCGTACGGTGAGATGCCGTGCGCGCCGATCTTGGTTAGTCAGACACGAGAAAACGCTACACTATGCTAGGCTAAATCGCGCTGTCTGCTGACGATGGACCACCAGGAAGAGTGAACAAGCGTGTACACCGCCGATGGGTTCTGGAGGTCGCGAGGGCATGGAACGGTGGCGGCCAGCGAGTCAGACTTAGCAAATGCAACACAATCTGTCTGAAGGAGGAGGAATGGCACAACAAATGTAAGGAGCTGACGAACTCCGGAAACAAGGACAGAGCAAGCTGACTCAGGTGATAAACGAGGAATCCACACACCGAGTGGCTTGCCAGACCACGCAGGAGATGAGACACAGGGAAATGAGTAGGATGGGAAGACAGAGAGGGCGCCGCATATCAGCGGATGGGTGCCATATGGACGCCCCATGTGAGCGGATGAGCGCCATATGGACGCCCCATGTGAGCGGATGAGCGCCATGTGGACGCCCCATGTGAGCGGATGAGCACCATGTGGACGCCCCATGAGGGCGGATGACAGACAGCCATGCGCTGAGCATGGAGGACGCGGGCGACGGGCCGAAGACAAAGATCGGTGTCATGCAGGGAGGATCGAGGCAGTGAGGCTAGAATGGCAGATAACACTGGTCAGAAGTCGGACAAACGGACTGCCCACAAGGATGAGAGGAACTGGCCGGAAGTCGTAACAGGACGATCACAGACACGGCTGAAGTGGAGGTCCGGGGCACGACGAAGCGTCCAGCGCATGCGGCTTACCGGGCCGTGAAGGCGATCCTGCCTCGCCCCACGACAGTCTCGTCCAAGTCTCTTACACGGGGAACACGCGAACTGGTCAGAAACGGACGGCTCGGAGCGCGGTGGCAGGGCGCCAGCGGGCACGCCAGTCAGAGGCCACGAGGGTGCATCTCAGGTGACTGTTCCCCTGTGCCAGTGTCCCCAGGCCCAGCAGTGCTCAGCCACTCAGTGATCAATGGCCAGTCATGTATGCATGAAAGAGTGGTGGTTTTCTCAGACTGGCTGTTGAGGAATTGTATGTGTGGACATTCAGAAAAAAAACTGAGTTAAAAAACCCATTTGGCTGGAGGACTCCTCACAATTGTCACCAACCACACACACTGGCGGGCATGTGTGGAGCAAATTAACAAATCACAGTGAAAGTTAGATAGAAGCCATAATCAATGCAAAATAATTAAGCTAACATCAGATTTGCCAAAACCAATTCCTTTTCTCACTTTTGATGAATATGGGCTTATGAGGGTAACTACCATAAGGGCCAATCAGAATACTAGAAGAAAGTAATATATGCAGATTTGCTTATTTTATGTAACTCCTTATGTTACTTACCTGGCTGGAGCTTGATAACTTTGATAGCTGCTGCTTCATTTGTGGAAAGTCGTGTAGCCTGAAAAATATGTTATCACTGACAGCAATCCATCAACTGTAGCTGCTGACAAAAAGCACCCTGAGTAGGTGATAATATGCAAAAACACCAATGAACACAAAAGCCCATAAATAACAAGACACAAACATGCATCAGTAAGGGTGATGATATGTAAGCTAATTATATAAATTTCAACCCTTAGAGTACCAATCAAAGCATATGATTCAGCCATGAGTGTATTCTTTATATCATCTGGGTTTTTCTATCACCTAGATTTGAATGGCTGCCATGACACTAGGTACTGCAATAATACAGGACTGCCTTGAAAAACACCTGCATCATGAAGCTATTCAATGAGCCAGGCTTTTGAAATAAACATATGATTTAAAAGCAAACCAATACCCACCTTGTACACGTCCCCATATGTTCCGCTTCCAATACGCTGAATTATTTCATAATCATCTTGTGGATTTCTTCTACTGATGTCAGAGCTCATATTAGATGATGAAGCCATTTTTGTTTTGCACTTGTGGTAAAAGACTGAAAACAAATGTGGATGCCCATGAGGCCCACTGGCATTCAGACTACATAATCTATGGCTAGAAATCAACAACGGTGTGTCTGCTTCGGATGTGCAAACCAAAGATGAATATCTATCTTGGCTGTACAAACACAAGTTGATCAACAGGTGTGCAACATATTCTATTTGCTGTGTTAAGTGGCATGCTAGGTACACTCCATTCACTATATCAAGTTAAATGGGTCAATTTGGTCTTCACATCCCATTTTGTAAACAACACCAGGTTTTTAATTGTACAGAAGACATGCTATCATATGTATACAAGCCGAAATCCCACTTCAAAGTCACTTAATGCCCTCATTTCATTCCATCAGTTTAAGTTCATGCCATATCCCATCTTCATAAAGGGAAAACCACAAATCAAAAGGAAGTGCTCATCTTGAATATGAATCACCAAAGCAGAACACCAGTGACTACAGATATCATCAAACTTCGGTCATGGTACGCTTGGCAGCTATGACATGCACACCTGGCATGGTAAGGGTGTGACAATATACCTTGTGTGGTTTTATACCAAGTGAGAAGCACAGTTAAGTCAAGCCAACTATTATGTGACTTCCACTTACATTCAACCATTCGTTCTACAGCCACACCGGGAGCCGTCTAGACCTGCCTATCCTTTACAACAGTCAGCGATACACCCCAGGCACCAGTGCAAACATACGCCACTCCAGGCCCAACTGAGGCACCTCAGTCATGTATTACCTACGCTAGTATGGTCTGATTTCTTTGTTTTATTCTTATCTTCAGTGATCCAGTTGGATTGGGACCGGCCTGCTCAACGACACCTCATTGCCCCGCCGCCACTACCCAGCGCCACCGCAAATCCACGCCACTTCGTACGCTTCTTACAACGTCGCTCCCGACGCGTTGTTGTGCGTGTCAAGCCTCGTCAATTTCGCTCCGACAGATGACACTAAATTGCTGGCTTACTTTGTAAACCCTTATACAGAGGGCTATATGTGTGCGACCCATAAACTATTTACGTCACTTAATGTACTCTGTTCAAATGCAATTCTCGTGAAATATTGAGCAAAATCACTGAATCAGAGTCCAGTGAAGCATATTTTGCTGTTTCTTTTATCATAACGATGTGCTTGGGATAGTATCAGCTGCTTAGGCCAAACGCTGCCGCGGCACCTGGCGATGGGCCTTCGCTGGAGCCATGCGTACAAAAAAAGTGCAGGAAACTCAACCATAGGTCAAAGCGTAGGGGGCATGATGAACCGTGCCACCAGCGTCCCACCGAGTCCCAAGATGACAAGGAAAACCCCCATGAAAAAGAAACGCCTCCCTGAAATTGAGTAGCATCAGGGTGATGCAGGGCAAGACATATTTAAGAGCGCTAATCCCCAAAATTGGGTGTCTCCTGCGGCGAATAGACAATGGATCTAAATAGCACCCTGAAAAACATGATAAATCTGAAACGATCGAAATATTGGACAATTTCACACTGACATTGTAAACCTCGGTGTTACCAATGGCCCAGTGCACCGACACCAAACACTAGACTCACAATGCAGTCCGTTTATGTACCAGGGCCAAAACTTGGCGGAGCTTCCTATGTGCGAATTAAATGGAAATTTCCGCCGAAAGAGAATACCGAATTAACCAGTATAGCATGCTTCAAGCTTCTGTCACACGGTACACTTCCATGCAAACATGTGACATGTACACCTAAGCCCCGGTCAACCGTTGAGAGCCGCAAAGCTTTGAACGTATTCATCGGCACGCAACATGCCGATGTCCCTAATGGAACTTTGATTCCTATGGAAATTGGAGGGTGTGTTATCTCACCCTTATGCATGTTCTGAAGTCAAAACGTGTGCACCCGAAAGAGATGGTAACCGTTTCACCAGACCACGGTAGGTAAGCAGATGCGTTTGATGACAGTCACCGAAACTGATTTCATTCATGTTGTTCACAATCCTGCCATGTTGTCCATGGCTCACGACGTCTTTTTCCCCGCCGTAGTGCCCCAGGATAGGACTGCCGCCAATATGACACGATCAAGCTTGCTGTAGGTCTGAAAGTACTCAAATGTGTGCAACACATCCGTGTCGAAGCATCGTTTCATATGGCCTAATGTAGCGCAGTTCTCATCAAACAACCAGAACGCATCTCTGCCGGGAACCCAACCAAACGATAGGTGAGACGCGAGGCAAAATCGGAGGCATGCGTTGACGAGCCTGGAGGGTTGCGGTCGTGTCAAGCTCCGAAACATTGGTGGGGAGATCAGCGTAGACGTCATTCAGACAGCCAGCTTCGTCATTCCGGCACGGAGGCAGTCTGCCTCTGCCATGATTCAGGCACAGAGGCAGAGTCAACATCTGACCTTATTCAAACAAAGAGGCAGACAGATTGATATAGGGGAGATAAAGATAGGGCAGGCGGAAAGAGAGGCACCGAAGCCATCGAAGGGGTGAAAATTCCATGAGTGCGCACCGTGAATACAAGAACGTGGAAGACACGTCGAGGACGTGCAATGATGTCATGAACTTGCAGTTGTAAGCAACTCGTTAAATGCAGCCGACTTTCTTATAACGCGTCCACAATGTCATTACCTTCACAGAAACACCATGGCTCTTTGGCACACACATATATTGCACGGTTCCAATTCCAGATATGTAGCCCTGACATGTCACCATAATAGGGGCAGTGCAGGCCGGTGACACAGTCACGATAGGGGCCCGCGCGCACAGCCATCAGAGCAGTCCGCGCCCCAAGGCGGCGTCTCGAGGCAGCGCTTTTGGACGTCTTCCAATCAAAGCAGTCCAACGTCCGTTGGGAGTAGACCAGTAGACCGACCCGGCTTGGGTCAGGTCGGGCCGGGTCAAATCAAATTAGACCGGGTCAGGTCGGGTTGGTCGGTGCGAGGTTCCTCTTGAGGTTCTGACACAGCTCCACCGCCCTGGCCGACGAGATCACGCCAGGCAGATGGCGCTGCAGTTCGGACGGCGAGCTGCAACCAAACAAAGCGACGGTCACCTCAACACAGACGCAGCCGGGCAGCGAGAGCCAGCATCGACGCAACTGGGCAGCGGGAGCCAGCACCGACACAGTTGGCAGCGGGAGTAAAAAATGACGCAGTCAGACAGCGGGAGTCAGCATCGACACAGCTGAGAGGCGGGAGTCAATGCCCATGCCATCCAGCAGCGGGAGCTGACACCGACGCACTTGGGCGGCGGGAGTCAAACTACAACGCAGCTGGGCGGCGGAAGTCAACACCGACACAGTTGGACAGCGGGAATCAACACCAACGCAGTTAGCCAGCAGGAGTCAGTTACGACGCAGTTGGGCAGCGAGAGTCACCATCGACACAGACAATCGCGGGTAAACATGGGCGCAGGCAACACAGTGCAGTTCACCACAAGCTCGAGCACCAGAGGACGTGGCCGTCGATATCAGCAGCACAACGGGAGTAACCGTTGATAGAAGCCACAGCCGTAAAGCACACCAGGCGCCGTCACATGAGCCACCACCGACATGGGTGGCCCATCAAAAATCATAGCCGGCGCAGAAGCAGCAGCGGAAACAGGTACCACCTTCGCCAGTGACACAGGTCGCTCATCACAAGGCAACGCACCAGAGCAATCACCGCTACAGACGGTACGACAGAAATCACCATTGTCACTGACAAAACAGCGTGACTCGCTACCGACAATGACGACACAGTATTACCGCCGACACAGGCAGAACAGCGAGGATCATTGTCGGCACAGGCACTGCAATGCAGGCTGCCACTGACACAGAAAGTACAGCAGGTGCCGCCAAATACACGGGCACCACAGCAGGGATCGCCACCGCCGTAAGAAACACAGCACGAGTCGCGAAGAGACGCTATCCATACAGCACGAATAAGTCTCAATGGCCCCACTTTCCATGACCCGATTCTCGGCGGCACCGAAGGACACCCGCGGGGTCGCCCTCGGTCAATGTCGCGTGACTGACCGACAAACGAGCCGGTGTGGGCTAAAGACTTGCAGCCGGCTGTGTTTCTGTTTCGCCAGCCATAAGCAGCGTGAGAGGCTGCCGCGTCAAGGGCGTTACGCATGTCAAACTAAACCACGCGAGGCTGACGCGGTCAGCGCCCAGCCGACTCACCAGGCGAGAGAGCGGGCCAGCGGGCCCAGCCGGCGGCGCAGGTCGGCGGCCAGCGGCACGCTCACTCGCGGCAGCGCTGCCAGCAGGCGGCGGCGGGCCTCCTCCAGAGGCGCCAGCGGCACGGCCGCCGGCAGACCGAAGCCGGCCGCGCGCTCGGCGACCGCCAGCCGCGACAGCAGCGCCGCGCTCTCCGCTGCGGCGGCACGGGGGAAGGGTCACACAGCTGCACGGCGGAGGGGGTCACACGGCGGTACGAGGGAGGGGTCTCATGGCGGCACGGGGGAGGGGGTCACACGACGGCACAGGGGAGGAGTAACACGGCAGCACGGAGGAGGGGGGTCACATGATGGCGCGGTGGAAGGATCACACGGCGGCACGACGGAGGGGTAACACGGCGGCACGGGGGAAGGGGTCACATGATGGCACGGTGAAGGGTCACACCGCGGCACGACAGAGGGGCTACCCGGCGGCACGGGCGAGAGGTCACACGGCGGCACGACGGGGGGGGGGGGGTCACACGGTGGCACGACGGAAGGGCAACATGGCGGCACGACGGACGGGTCACACGGTGGCACGGCGGAGCGATAGCACGGCGGCATGGGTGCCACGGCGGGGACAGCAGCAACAAACCCGCATCGGCTTATGCACTGTAGCCAAAGCCATGTTAGCGAAGAAGCACAGTACCTGTAAGTTGCTTTATATTTGACAAGTTAGTTCTGCCTGCATCCTAATAACAAACTATCCATGTTCAGGTTACTAAGCGACACAAGTAGCGCCTCCACCCCCGCTGTTGTGTGGAGACAGGGTTGTCGGAAGCGCACCGGCTCGATAGGGGAGGGTGACGCGTTCCGCAGGTGACTCGTCCACCGACACACGCCACCATGAGGTGTCCACGACAGTCGCCTTGCAAGCAGCTGCTTTTCGAGTACAAAAAGAACACCCGGAACAGCTTTCCTGACACTTTGCGTACAAGCCAAGCAATACAATTTCGGACAGAAAATGAATCCGTGCGATGGCGATTTGGGACGAGATGAATACGGGGTAACGAAGCCGCGTGACACGACGTCACAGTGCAGCCACATTGCAGGACGTAAGCCGCATTTTCGCAGCCATCCAGCGCCTGACAACGCCAGCGTCTCAAGTCCGGCCGTCTCACTACCAACGACAGCGCACAGTTCGTACAGCCGGTCGTTTGCACAGCCGGTCCAAGCTATGGGAGGTCAGGTCAGAGCAGAATACACCCGCCCGAGCGAGGTCTCGCCGGACCAGCGCGGCCAGAACCTGGATCAGATCAGGTCCGACAAGCCCAGCCCTGGTCAGGTCAGGTCACATCACTGACCGGGCGTCTCCGAGTGCAGCAGGTGGACTGCCGGCGCGGGCCAGCAGTCGGTCGGCGCCCCGACTCCTGGCGGACGGCGGCGGCGGCTGCCCGGGCCGGCCGCGCGGCCGGTCCCGCTCCACCAGCAGCCAGCAGCGCTCGTGCAGCCGGCGCAGCCGCAGCAGTCTCCCCATCAGCTTCCGACGGCCCGGCACGCTGTTCAGGTCTGATGGCGGACACCGATCACCGTCAAACATCGCCTGTACATGGCGCAGCAGCCACCACGCTCCTCACCCAGCAGCCGGCCACGTAACGGCAGTAACCAAGACCTCTCCGTCCAGCGGACGTACCGCGGTAACTGGACGTCCAATGT